AGCCACTTTCTGCACTGATCTGTCCGAGCCAGTGCAACTTGACGTCTTGCATAGTTGTTCTTCTCACGAAAAATTTCGTGGTCATCTACAGACTTTGATTTTTGCCATTGCTTGTATGCAACTTTCCTTTCAGCTATTGCATTTTGTACACTGTCATTCCACCACCAAGTGTCACATTCATGCTGACGTTTTGTACCAGTTTTCCCACAAACTGTAGTTGCAGCGTTCATTAAAACGGTTTTTTATGTACTCCAATCTGTACTGGCTTGCGATTGGTGGTCTAACTGTGTGGCGACAATCTGTTGAAATTTTTCTCGATGAATATTTCTTTTTAGCTTCCACGTTTTGATTCTCCGAAGCATTTGCTTAGACTTATATTTTGACAGTTCGACAACCAGGTCTGCCACAAAGAGTCTATGTTGGGCGACACATGATTCGCCAGGTATAACTTTGACGTTTTTGAACAGCCTTTGGTGTGGTTGCTTGACAGCGAAGAAATCAATTTGAGTGGCTGATGGTCCACTTTTGTATGTTATGAGATGTTCCAACCTTTTTCTAAAATATGTGTTCAGTAAACAAAACCTGTGTTTTTCAGCAAACTCAAGGATGCGGTTGCCATCTTCATTCCGTTTTCCATAGCCAAAACCGCCATGTACATTGTCAAAACCATCTGTTTTCTCTCCAACGTGGCCATTGAGATCGCCTCCAATCAGGATTGTTTCAAATTTTGGTATTGTTGAGATGGTGTCAGAGAATGCAGTCCAGAAGTCATTTTTCATCTCTTCTGATTCGCCTGTCTGTGGTGCATATGCAGAAAAAATAATCATTGTTTGCTTTTCTATGCGAAGCTTGATCCACATGAGACGTGAATTAATCCTTTTAATATCCAGTACTTCTTGGGCTAGCGGATCTCTGACAAAAATTCCAACACCATTTTTGGCCGTCTTTTGACCATTCCAAGATAGTTTATATTTTTCTTTGTCTGAGTTGACATGACAGACACCATTCGATTTCCATCGGGTTTCCTGAAAGCAGCAGATGTCAATCCTTCTACGCTCGAGCGTTTCTGCGATTTCCATGCTGCGGCCAGTCAGTGATCCAACATTGAGCGTTCCAAGTCTAAGTACCATAGAAGGGTCATTCTGAATTTTCCTGCAACATCCCTCCGCTATTGCATACTTTCCAGGGATTATTGGCACCCCTTGACCACTTAAGGCCTGCTGGGAACTAGGGGCCGTTGTTTTTCTTTGTGATGGCATAGGAATAATTTGGAGAAAAGTTTTTACATCCGGACACCCATCCTGACGACAACCACCAGTTATAAGTGGTGCCTAGCCTTTCTCTCAAAAGCACGCAAGGCAGCGTGGATGCAGTTTTATGTCATACCCAGGACAATTATATATAATACATATTTTATTAAGACTACAAAATTTAATAGCATCAGTCACCAGTTTACCAGCTAACACAATCAGTAATGCAATTCATTTGAATCAACAGCTAACAATGTATTTTACAGATGTAATGATAGTTTTATTTGAAAATCAAGCACAGAAGGATCATCCATAGCAAATGGTTTTTGGTACAAAATTTGGGTAGGGATATATCGTAATGTTTAAGGCCCCTAATCTTGTCGTTGCAGTAGCATGTTTTGAATGCAGAGATATTCATCCTCCTATCACAAGCAATGTGCCTGATGCGCGTATTGATGCGTAATCACCGGCGGCCTCTTGTATAGTAGAGTTGATAACAGTTTATGGCCACGTCTATCATCATGTAATCCTTAGCAAAAAAATTAGACTTTTGTCTCTAACAGCTGCGATTTATAAAAATGACTTTGTATATTTTTTCTTATTAATTTTACTTTTTGTTTTGTTTGACAGACTTGAAACGTGCTTCTTCACGCGAAACAGTTCACTTAGTAGTTGTTGTAGGAGATCATAGAGTTGGCAAAACATCGCTGGTCACTCAGTTCCTCACCTCCGAACATCTTGCTGGCCTGGATGTTGATAATAATGGAGGTTCTCACCCAATTTCCATTAATTTTTAAATTATCACGTTTTTAATAATTTAAAAAATTAACAAATTTTAGATAATCAAGCTGAGCAGGAGAAAATAATTTCAGTTTCTGTTGATAACACCGAAACCATGCTCAATTTCTATGACACCAACATTAAAGAATACGAGGTGATTAACATGTTCTGAAATTTAATTAAGCAATTTTCTTTATTTTATTTTGCAAAAGTTTTAAAAAGTATTTGCATTTGCTTGTACGTGTGTGTAAAACACATAGACCTCTAAATAAAAGGTCTGGGCAATAAACAAATTTTTTTGCGATCTTTACACAGCCCTAATAAGGAGATTTCAATTTCATCTGAAGATTATAAAAGCGAAATCAAATAAAAACTTAACAGAAGAAACACAGATAACAAAAAGATGAAAAGAATACTGCGAATAGCTGTACTCAAATGAAACAACAGCAAAGATTAATGAAAAGTCTTAGATCATCCAGCTTATAAAGAGCCTCCACCCCTGAAGCCTTGAAGTGGTTTTGGCAATAAATCAACTGGCATGGCTTAATGCAGCAGGTTCAGACGATGTGTCTGCAGAATCATTCAAAGCTGGAGGTAAGACGGTACTTGATAGGATACACAGGATATGTACAGAAGTGTGGAGCACGGGAGAGTGGCCAGTTAATTAAACACAACAGGCTTTAAAAATGAAAGAAGAACAAGAAATCAAATGGTAAATTTAAGAATAATTTTGCAGAATGTCGGAGAACACCAACAATCTGTATGCATTTGTTTTGTCGACTTTCGTAAAACATTTGAATCTGTCTCATGATAGACTTTGGTTTGCGATGCTAGAAACGGGTTACCCGTCTCAAATAGTACTATTGTTACTTAACTTATACAAGAAGCAATTGGCTAAAGTGAAAATAAAAGGTGTAAATTTAAAATTGTTCCCGGTCAGAAAGGGTGTAAGACAGGGATTTGTATTATCTTGTATATGTATATGTGGATGTGATGTGTATATGGATGTGATGAACTTAAGGAGCTAATCAAACAAAAATGTTTAATTTGGAGATCTGTGTATAAGTATAGGGATAATTTAGTAAAGTTTCATAAAATTAGGAACGAAGTGAGGAAATGTACCAGAGATTTAAAACGGCAGTCACAGGAAGCAATCGCTAGAGAATATAAAAATAATCCTAAATTATTTTGGAACCATGTGAAGAAATGCATCACACATGATGAATTAGTTAGTCCATTGTCAGTAGATGGCAGAATTGTTACTAATGTAAAAGAAAAAATGGAGGCATTTGCTCATTTCTTCTCTTCAGTATATGAAACAGATGATTATTTTGATGATAAAAATTACTTCAGCCATGACATTTCAATTAAAAGGATGGATGATTTGAATATAACTGTACCGATGATATCTGAAAAATTGTTGCGTCTGAAAACAAACAAATCATCAGGACCAGATGAATTACATCCAAGAGTTTTGTGGGAAATGAGAGATCTAATTAGTATCAATCTGTGTGAAATGTTTCAACGATCGTTGGATGAAGGTGTCATATTTGATCATTGGAGATTGAGTCATATGGTACCTCTGCATAAAAAGGCCGCAAAGATCTTATTCAGAATTATCGACCTGTATCACTTACGTCAATCTGTTGTAAGATCATGGAGGCATTGTTAAAAGACCATATTATGAAACACTTCATCGATAACAATCTTTTTTCAAGTAGTCAGTTTGGCTTCATACCTGGTCGTTCTGCTGTTTTGCAAATTTTGAAATTTTTAGAAGCGGTAACAGAGGGAGTGGACAATGGTTATGAAGTGGATGTGGTCTACATGGATCTGGAAAAAGCATTCTACAAGGTCTCTCACAATCGTTTGTTGTTCAAATTAAGTCAGTATGGGCTAAATGACAAGATATTGGGATGGATCAGTAAATATCTCAGCAATAGGACATTTCAGGTCAGATTGGACGGTACAATGTCAGAGCCAAAGTTGTACACAAAGCAAATTCTATGTTAGATTTGATTGCCTGAAATTTTAAAGACTTGTCAGAAAAGGCTTTCGTGACATTATACATTATAATCTTTAGTTAGATCAAACATTGAATATAGCGTCCAAGTATGGTATCCTTATAGAGTTGAACTGTATGATGAATTGGAGAAGGTACAAAGAAGAGCAACACGTATAGTGGCCTCTTGTAGGGGTCTTACATACGAGAAAAGATTGAAGAAACTTGATTTGCCATCCCTTGCATACAGACGCAGAAGAGCTGATCTGATCTTGATGTTTAAAATAATACAAGGTGAAATATCAGAAGAAGTTAGTCCAGCTTTGATATTCGCTCATGATGACCGGACAAGGGGTCATAACCTTAAATTAACTCCAGGAGTTTGCCATAAGGACTGCCGTAAATACTTTTTCACGAACAGAATTGTAGGTGATTGGAACAGATTGCCAGCAGCCGTGGTTAATGAAGTATCCGTGAACGGTTTCAAATCAGCAGTGGACGGTTTCTTTAGTGATGTCATGTTTGACTGGAGGGCTAACATTTAAATGTTTAAATATTTCAATTTGTCGCTATCAATGAATTATTTGTGTCTTCTAAGTCGTTATAAAACAATGTTCTTAGTTTTATTATTTAAACTTAAACTGCTATTGTCTCGTTATGGATTTTATTTTTGATATTTATGTCAGTATGTGTGAGCAATAATGACAATGTACGTATGCCTGTGGTGATCTGCTGATGAACAATCTAATGTTTGTAATTTATATTAGTGTTTCATTTATCTTTTGCATTTTACGTACGCATAATTTTTCCTGTTTAGTTTTTGGTATTGTTTTCGTTTTGTTTTTTTTTCTGTATTTTGTTTGCCCGAGCTTATAATAATAATAATTATCTCTTTACCTGTTTAATATCTTGGCGGAAATGGCAATGTTAGAAGCTTTGAAAAGTTTTGAAGGAAGATTAAACATAGAAGGACAAAGGATAACAAATTTGTGGTATGCAGATGACATAATACTTTTGGCTACCACTGAAGAGGAATTACAGAAATTAGTCATCAGGGTGGAAACAGCCAGCACTAACTATAGCCTAATAATTAATAAAGATAAAACTAAATTGATGCACATAAATGGAAACAAATAGGAAATTAAAGTCAATACAGTTTTATTGGAATCAGTGTATTCTTTTACTTATCTGAACTCTATCATAACAAAGCACAAGGGGTTAAAGCCGGTGTGCAAAAGACATGAAAGAGCCATTCTATAGTATTAAATGCTAAAATTCGCATGCTGCACACGATAGCAGTCTATGGTTTGGAAAGTTTGATATTGAAGAAGGAAGATGAAACAAAAATTAAAACATTTGAAAGGTTTAGAAAAATACTAAGGGTGTCATGAAAAGACAAAAACGCATGAATGGGTTCTAAAAACAAATGGAGTGTAGCGAAAATTACAGCCTAAAATCAATAAAAGAAAATTAAGCTACATTGGTCCCATCTTCAAGAAAAAAACGCATGGAAAACGATATAATACAAGGAACACTCTCTTGATCAAAGTGAAGAGGAAGGCAAAAAAAGGTGGGTCGATGACATAAAGATTTAAATATATTTTAAAATGGAAGAGTTGTTGAGAAAAACGGAAGACATAGTTGACTAGAAAAACATGTTCATGATGCAGCCTACTCTCGGAATCAGGATGGTTAAAAACAGGACAAGACAAGACAATATGTAATTGCAGGCATTCACGGCAATAACAACAATGTAAATATAATGATAAAATTTTTCGCTCTGTCGTGCAATGTTAAGTGTTAAAAATTTAAAACACTTGACCTCCCTGCGCCATTATATAGATATTCATGATATAAAACAGTATATTGTATGTAAAATTTATGAAAAGAGGTAAAACAAAGAAAATTGTTATTGCTTGATTATGCATAACATATAGCATAAAATATTACTACATTTGTTCTAAATTGATATTACTCAAAAATTCATTAAAATGTTTATTTGATATGAATTATTATTTTTTGAGGAAGTGGAAAGATTTCAAAATAGTCAGGAGGTAGGTGCCTACATAGTCATGTATTCCATCACCGACATCCTCAGTTACCATGTGGCTTGCAATATGGCCAGGCAGTTGTGTAATGTAGATGAAAGCAGTGACAAAGTTAATAAAAAAATTATGAAAAGAAATTATGCGGTCATAATGGTTGGTAACAAAGAAGACCTTGTCAGGAACAGGAAAGTGTTGGAATCAGGTTTTTTTACTTTCAGAATTTTTCTTTATTTACAAATTTTAGGCTTTGTTGATATGAATTGCAATCTACATCTTGTCATTGAAGATTCACAAAAACTACAAAATTTATAATTTAGATAATTAACATCGTAATACTTTTGATTGTCAGACTCTCGCGAGACATGTAATGCCTTAGGCTGCAAGTTCATCGAGGTGTCGGCAGGACTCAATCACAAGCTGGATGAACTTCTCGTTGGAATTGTCTACCAGGTCAGATTAAATGCAAAACGAAAATTACTCATGTCGAAACAGAACAAGGTGACTTCCCAAAAACTAACGTCATCATTGCCATCGTCACTTACCTCTTCGAAACCATCTTCAAACTCCAGCTACTTTGGATGGTTCAAAAAAGTTTTCGGACTGAAAAATAAGAACAGCGAATATCATTGTGAGGATATGAAGACATTTTAAAATCCTGCACTTAAGGGCCAGCGCTTTCAACATAATTTTGTCTATATTTTTGCTTTTATTGTTATTTTGTATAATATTTTATTATAAACAAATTTTTAAAAACACGTTTGTTTGATAAAAAATATAATACAACAAATTCGTTAAAACATAATTTAAACTTCAACTATTAGAAAGACGTTTGACATACAGTCTACTTGATCAACAAATACGTCAACGCAACTTATTTCGTACATGCACATATGGACATTTAAGTTTTGTTGTCCGACCAAACATCTGAATAAAAGCAAATTACATTCATTTTGTCATCGGGATGAACTCTACGTAAATTTCGTTTAGAAAATTTATTTACGTTCTATATAGTTATTTCAAATAAATTTAAAGTTTTTAAATTGAACAGAAATTCAATATTGAATTTTTATAGAAATGGATTCATGATTTCTACTTCTCCGGTTTAATAGAAGTGAGTTATAAAAATAAAATATAAATATACGAAGATTACGCGAAAAAAATTTCAAAACATTTCTTGTTGAAATAAAATAAACTAGATGAGTTAATTTTTTGAAAACATAAAGAGTTTAGAACAATAAGTTTTTATTTATTGAGTTAGAGGGGGCTTAAACTTAATGCAAGCGTTTCATCGCGAATAAAGAAAATTTCAAACCAACTGCTGAAAATGTTATGCGTAATACAACTAATGACACGGCAACGACTGAGGCGCATTAATATTATTACAGCAATCAAGCGGTGCGTGCAGATACAAGGCAATCAATGCATCACACATACTTTTGCATAAGATAGGTGAGGATTTCTTTGAATTTGAACCCGACACTACATCAACAGTTCCAAGCATCTTAACCACTATAAAATCGCGCCGCCCAGGAAGTGTCGCTGCATGTTTGGCTGTTTGAACACTAAAATTTATTTGTTTACACATGCCATTGATGCATAAAAAAGGGTAAAAATGATGAATCTTAAGTAAATCTTAGCTTATACGTAATTCCAGCACTGAAGAAACAAACGTTTTAAAAAGTGAATTTAATTATGTTGAAAAATGTTGAAAGGGTATGGTTGGATAATTTAAAAAGCTCAAAAAAGCGGGTTTCCAAGCTACAACCTGTTTAGTTTGTACGTAATTCCAACAAATAGGCAATTAAAATATCTGGTGAATGAAGATTGAAAAGTTGATATTAACGGGTTTATGAATAATGAATACTGATGTCACCATTTTGGTGGACAAAAAACGACCATTCTACCCAGACATGATTTTGATATTGAAATTTGTTTAAACGTTTGTTTACACGTTTTTTAAACCGTTTTAAGCTAGGCAAATAAAGCAATACTCCATTTAGTTAAAAAATTGTCACACAAAACTGTTATCAAAGGCTTTGCTATCAATTGTGAAATTATAAAAAAACCGTTGATAATTAGATAAACAAAGCCGTTCACATTATTTTACATTAAGAGCCAGACCATTAGTGCTTCAACCAACAAATTCAACAACTTGCTGTTTTAATCAATTATTATGATAGTCACATGTTGTTTATGAATTGGAAAAAATTAAATCAAAATAATTTGAATCAATATTGAATTATAAGTATGATTGAGTGTCGATACAACGTTGAACTTTTACAACTCGCGATAGTTTCCGAGAAACGAAAACTAAATAAAATAATATAAATTTGTTGAAAAAAATAATTGTATTTGCTGAATTTGAACTTGTCCAACACGCTCAATCAGAAGACTGCCACCAATATTTTGGCGGCACATCATCTATTGGACACAAATCAACATAGAAGCAATAAAAAATAATAATGAAAATAAATATTGTAAATATCATTGTTTTATGGGAAAACATTTTTTTAAAAAGATTTGGTTTTCCATTAAAATTATTTTTAGCCGTTTTACAATTGTTGTAGTTTTTTGAGACCTCTACACCGCTGTGTGACCGGTTCATGTGGTTCACGACGTTAACCACAGAAGGTGATGCGGATATTGAAGTTTTTCTGTAGCGAGCTGGATAATTCGCAGATGAAGATTGAGTTTGAACGGCTAATTCAAATGTCGCAGCTCGATTGCTAACTGAAACTTCAGCTTTGTGCAATGGGTGATTACTGTGATTAACGTTTTTTACGTTGGGCTTTTGTAGTCTTTTTGACAAACCTTTTTTAGTTTCAAAATCTGTAAACGAGTAATCATCTCTGTCATCATGAGGCTCGTTCAATTCAGTTTCCACGACGCTGCTGCTGCTGCTGTTGTTGGTATCTGCGTTTTGAGAATTTCCACTTGAGATGTTGTCTCTGCAGTTTTCTTGTTCCTTGCACGAGGAACTCTCTTCTGAAGAAGATGCTGGATTTTGAGAATGAAGATGATGAGAGTGAGATTTATTGAAATTGACGTTTCGGGGGTTGTGATTGTTTCTGTCGTCTCGGTGATTATTGTTTCTTTTTCTTTTTTTGCGAAAAGTGTTGGCTTGTGTTTCTTTGCTATATCTGATCTTTCCACCGGTTATTTCCATTTTGCAAATTCCATGTTCAGTTATTTTGTTGTCAATTTTCGAATCTGTTTGGTTGTTGCAATTTTTCATAATACATTCTCTCGAGTAATCGACGAGACTTTTATCCTTTCCACTGACTTTTGTTTCACCGCGCGAAGCGTCTTGTGGGACATTGTGGTTCATTGTGTGCAGTGGATGGTTATGATTATTGCTGTTGTCCTCAATAAGACATGCAGCGTTTTTAGGTCTATATTTTTTACGACCAGAAGAGTTTGGGTTGCTTTCATTGATGACGTCATCCGCTCTTTTTATTCCTTTTTCTTCCACATCTCCATTTGTGTTGATAAAATCATCAACTCGTTTTAAATCTTTCATTTTTATTCTTTTTTCTCCATCATTATTTTTTTTATTTTCAGCACTGCTAACATCATGTTTGTTATTTTTTTCGCTTTCAAATTCCAACTCCAATTTGCTGTTACTTATATTAGCAGCAAACTGTTCTAGATCTTCATGTCCAGTATTACTTTGTGGAACATTTACGAGGTGTTCTACATGAGGACTACAGTGTTGAATATCGTCACATGCATTCTTGTTACTTTCATTTTCATTAGGCGTGATTATCCTTCTATCACAAAAATCGTCGCAATGTTTAAAATTTTTTCTCATAATTTTGCCGTCGTTAACTTTTCCAATTTCGAATTCTGGTCCCACCCCGGATCTACAGTTTTCTGCACTCCGGATTCCGCAATAATTGACTAAGGCATCATCCTTTTTGTCGTATTTTATTTTAGTGCTCGAAATATTGTTTTGTGAGATATTTAATTCATGAGGTGCGCGTTTTTTGACAAATTTGAATTTATTATTGTTGAGAAATCTGCACGGGCGATAGTAAGGGTCCTCATTATTTGCAGATCTTTTGTGTTCTCTTTCATTGTGGATGCACGTACTTTGGACACTTTTTTTATTACCTCCATTGTTATTATTACTTTTGTTGTTATCGCCTTGAGTTTTTATATCTCCCTGACGCACAAAATAACTTTCCTCACTTTCGTTATTTACATAATTTATTTTTCGTCGTAAATCATTTTTGTAGCCTAAACTTTTACCGTTTTTGTTGTTGGCTTGATAATGGTTTGTTAGGTGCGCCAAATCTTCTCTTGATCCCGTGCCATCGTCATCGTCGTACTTTTTAATATTGTATTTGCCTATCAAAAACTCTATATCTTCTTTGGAACTAATACTTTCAGCATCAATTTCATCATAAAAATGAAAATGATTTGTTTTCATTTGTGAACTCTTTCTTGTTTCTAAATTTTTAATTTTTTTTTTGTCTTTTTTGGTGTGGTTCGTGCCATATAGTAGATGTTTGCCTGATTCCAAACTGTCAGAAGAACTGATAAAAAAATGTAACAAATTATTTACGGGATGGTTTGTATTTCTACCTATTTAATAAAATTAATTTATCTTACAAAAACAATTAAATTATTTCGATATTTATTACATCAAAAATTTAAACTAAAAAATTAATTAAATAAAAATTAAATTAATTAATATTGTTCAGTGAAATTGCTATCAACACACTATTCCGTACGTTATGACGATGCATTTGTTCACGTGATAGAAATAGGTAAAAAGTTTGAATAAAGAAAAATGAAAATATAAAATGAAAAATGGTAGCAAAGCCTAAAAAATACAAAATTAATTGAGAAATAGTTTGGCAAAAAGACAATTTTATCTTTAAAAATAACTTAAACATTTTTTGTTCATTATGATATATTGAGCAACATTTAAATAAAAATCTTATGAAATTAAGTTGATATATAACGCCAGTCGACAAGTTTTTTTGCATCAGAGGCGGCATTATGTGATTCTTGTAGCGTTTTTTGCACTGATTTCAAATATGCGTTCAGATTTTTTATAGCACGGACAGATTTTATTATAATCTAAATTTTTTAAATAAAATTTTTAATAAAATTTATACAATGCATACATATTCTAATATTAACCATAATTGTGTTTCACGTTTTCGAATCATTTGTTGAAGCAAATATCTTACCAATTTATCAATCGACATGCCTAGAACTTGTTTAAATCTTCCTGATACTTTCTGTTTTATTTACGGCTCATTCGCAACAAAAGCTCAACGACATTCAATTACTGCAGATCTGAGGAGGATTTACAAATTATACTTCGGTTGGCCACTCGGAGAACAGTATCAGCCGTGGGCTCCACATGATATTCAGGTAATGGAGCATTGCTATCAAGGTTTCCAGAAGCGCTAGTATGGTGGGAGATTACAGTTGGACGTTGTATCGTGATAACCCGGACTACGAGCATGCCAGAAAGTCATATAAAACTATGCTATACAGACTGGTGCATGATTCTTGGAGTAAGGTTTTCACCCGAATTTTATTTGCTAAAATATTAGCTTTAATCTAGTGCATAAATGAACGTTAACACTTCATAGAAAACCATACACTTAAGCATTAAAATACATTTTGTTATAACTCTGAAACGTTATGTGCTAGCAAAGATCGGAATACATATTTGAAATCAGCACGAAAAATCGGTTCAGAAACTTGTATTTTCGTTTCCGATGCATTTGCCAACTTCAATTTCGTTGACTTGTTTATTGTATAAAAATACAATCAGTATTCATAAGAGGAAATATTTTAATTAATTTATAAGTATAAATGAAATTTTTCAAATTTTTCAAAACTTCGCTATGAGATGGACTAATTTAGAAAAAAGCGAGCTGAACATTTTGGATAGGATTTTTTTAATCTTTACAAAAGAACATAATGTCTGCCTATTATTGCCAAGGCCGGATTTGAGGTTGGTCAGATGGAGCTAACCCTAACCCATGGCATCCATGAAAAATAATGTAACTATAACTTAATGTATCGCTAAATACTTGCAAACAACTTTATAAGAATAATCATCTATTCTTCATAGAAATTCTTAAAAAAATAGTCAAAATTATTTTCATCATGAAACAAAATGAACATAAAACATAGCTTACAAAATATCTTCATCGTCTTCATAACCATCGCCATATTGCTTTATATTTCGTACATCACGCACATCACAAAAGCTACTGCTGGATTTTTTAATGCAACCGTCTAAAAGTCGATATCTTAGACTGTTCGTGATGTTGTAGGCAGGCTGAACTGTGTGTGCATTATTGGCTTTAGAATTGAAACCAGCTGTAATAAACTTGCTCGTCTCATGAGGTTGCATGAAATTTGAATCGCCGTGGGCTGCATGGTCCCGACAGAAATATCCACTGGTCGGTGTTCTTCGAATACGTGCTTGACATGAAGAACGCTGCTGTAGACGTCCAGCTGATTTTCGCTGGCTGCGTTGGTGACAACTTATTTCTTCCATTAAGTTTATCTGACGAACAGACTTTTTTTGAAAACTGTGCAGTTCGTTTCTTGAGTGCGATCTGTCAAATACTTTTTTCAACTCACTGGATAAGTTATTGTTCGTATACTTGTTAGGCTTGAGATGGTCCACATCATCGTTGCCACCATCAACATTGCGATCCCACTTCTTATAATTGCGATCTCTTCTGACGTTTCTAAACGAACTATCCATTAAATTTTCTTTGGTCGTTTTGCGGCAACTGTTCATTTTTAAATAATCCCGAAATAGTTGTCTATCATCAACGATAACAAGTGAACACAAAAATATGAATTTGTAGTAATAACTGTCATGACAATAATTTATTTCAGATGTTAAATCGATGCAAATAATTTAAATAGCAAAATGTTCTTTTGTTGCAACTCTTTTAAAATAACTGACAATTTTACTTTATAGAAAGATTTATATACATAAAATTATTGAATTGAATAACTTTTTCAAGGCCTACATTTGAAAATCTTTTACATTGCTACAAATTCAATTCATAATAAATAACTCAAAATAGGAAACTTATGGAGCCGTTGGAAATAAGCAACTTTTTAAAGCTTTTTAAAATAAAATATTTTAGGAAAACAGTTGTGAATATTTCAAAAACAACACGTCATATTATGTTTATCGTTACGTTACGCTCTTTAAAAACACTTCATATGGCTTTCTCGTTTAGTTCGACTCTGAACAAATCATTCGCGCGTTAGTAAATTTGTTTCAATGACATTTAAATATAAATATCATTAAAATTAATTAAAAAAAGTAGTTAAAAACTTTTTTCTATATAAATAAGTTAAAAAGCAGTGATAAAAATGCAATACGAAATATTGAAAAATTGAATCAGATAATATATATATATATATATATATATATATATATATATATATATATATATATATATATATATATATATATATATATATATATATATATATGTGCACATGTCATAACGTAATTTTATCCAGAAGGTTATTGATATTGAGCTGATTTTAAAAAATACATCTCAATATTTAGTTTTTCTTTGTTTTTCTTCTAGAAATAAATTTTTCTGATTTCCCGCTTTCAAGTTATTGATTTGCCTGATTTTAATTTTGTTCGTATAGATCGTGTTGGGAATGTTAGAGGTGGCGTTGAAATGTTTTTATTAAACTCTTTGAAATATATAGTTTGTGACGATCTTTTGTATTTTTTTTCTCTTCTTTCGAATTGATTATTGTTAAAATTTTTAATATTGACTCTGAAAATTATTTAATTCATCTTACGTACCGACCTCCTAATACTGATCCAGTTTGCTCTATTAATGATGAATTGTCTAACGTTTGCAATTGGGTACAATCAAATGGTTTGAGAATTAACATCACTAGGACTTATTACACTTTATTTGGACCCAAGATCCGTGCTAGTATCTTGGAAGATAAAATTTTATTAAATGATGATTGCATTGAAACGGTTCATTCAATTAAATTTCTTGGCGTAATTATTTCGAGTCATTTATTGTGGCTTGAACATATACAACATATTTCGAAAAACTGCTAAGAGTTTACGTCTGATTTATCGTTAAAGAGCTAAGTTTCCTAATTTTATTTTGAATACTTCTTATAACCATTTTTATCTTATTGTGTTTCTATATGGAGTTATAGTACAAAATCTAATATTCATAGTTTAAATTTATCCCAAAATAGTTTATTTCGATTTTTATTTTATTTTTAATTTGTTCTCATTGTTGTTTTTTAATAAACTGTTTCAAATATTTTATTGACCGTCTATTTGTAATCAAATAAGTCATTTAATTAATAGTAATAGTTTATCAATAGATCTGTGAAATATCCCGATTTTATTTTCATAGGTATCGTACAAACTTTTTTATAAACTCTTTTTTCTGCGTCAATTCGTCTATGGGTCTAGTAACCGAGTGATGTGAAAAAATTACCTTTGCTTAATTCATTCAAAAAATTTTTTAATAAAATAATTTTTAGAGATCATTTTTCATTGTTTACTGTACTTCTTAATTATTTCAGTTTGTTGCGGTTTTTTGAGTTTTATATTTATTCGTTCAATCTCACTTTAAAAATTTTGTGGATTTTTAACAGTTTGTTTTCCATTTGTTAACGGTTTACCCTTAACTGGTTTGTGTTTAATTTGCGTTTTATAACGATGAATAATTTAACTTTTTTGTTTTGTTTTTGTTTAATTTCTTGGATAGGGTGGCCCAACAGATGAAAATTTCGAGTCTCCCTGGTAATATATTTCACTGAATAGTAGATTTTTCAAATTTGAATTTTTATATGTCGGGATTCGATGTTGAAACTATAGCCAAAGTTAGCGGATCCTGTACCGCCGAGATTGGCTAAGCAGACCAATTTTGGTATGACAATCTCAAACACATCCAGCACAGATAGAGAAAGTCAGTTGATGCAGATGATTTTGACGCTGTTTTCGCCTGGATTTTTTCAGTGCAGCATTCTGAGTTTTACTTCATCTCTGCACGCAACGCGCCCTGCCTGACAGACAGCCTTCAGACCGGACACTTCAGCATCTTCAACAGCGCCTAGCATTGATTTTGTGTTAAAATGTTTCTCTCCATTCAATTATCTGTTTGAGAGATAGATTGGAATCTTAAGGTTTGAAGATTAAAATGGAAGTCATCAACTGGAACTGTACTATCGTTGTCTTATACCCCTAATGAAATCGTATTGTCGATAGTAAAATAAGTAAAATAAATTATTATCCAAATATAAAGCATTACTGCATCCTTATTACTGCCTATTATCAATCGCCAACAAACACAAGTCAAAGGTACTGATCTATAGTTATCCACCAAGTCCCTATCTCCTTTCTTATATATCGGTACAACAACACTATTTCCCCCTCGTGTTCGTTATAAGGGAGTTATACTCATACCCAACTCTATCCAAGTTGCTCAATTGATCAATTTGAAAATGTTGTTTCCAACAGTCATTAACATGCTTCCAAATACTTTAGAATTATCCTAAACTCTAAGTGCTAATTTTTTTATATAACTTTCTTTTATCATATTAGCATTTCTTTTCACTTAATTTCAAAGTTTTTTAAATTTATTAAATATATTGATATTCCTACTTTAAAAAAATTCCATAATACATTTTTAGTTTTAATCGAAACAAATATAGTAAGATAGTGTTACCCTAAATTATTTTTACGAAAAGAGTCTTGATGTTTACAGGAACGTATTAATCTATCATATAGCTTAAAACATCTACAAAACATATCAATAATTAATTTATTTTATTCTGCCGATCAATGAGTTTAGAAACGAAGTGATCAAATGTGTTCCATAATACAGCATTTAAAAACTGATTTAGCTTTATTGAAATTGTTTTTTTGACATGTGCATCTGCTGTAATTTGATGTCATATTTTACAAGAAAACTTTTTAACACTTGGTCGCTTTCCCTATTGGATCATGAAAACATATATTGCACATAATATCCTGGTCCCGTGTAAGAAGCAAATCAAGTATATTTTGTTTTTGTATGCATCTGATCCTAGTAGGCAATTTGATGCACAGAGATAAAAAACATTCGTAATACAATTGATAATTTTTTTTTCTTATGATTTTGGGCCTGCTGACATTAGGCTCCAACTTACCTTCAGCATATTGAAAACCTCAACGATTAACTTAACTCTTTTATACAAAATAAATTTTATTAAAGAGAATTTATTATTATTTGACAAACAAGAATTTGGTCTACGACAAATTATTAAAACCAAAACATCAACTACATAACTAATTACTTTCAACTCTCATGAATTCATTAAAACTATCTTTCAATCTCACTACTTTAGAGCAAATGATGTCTTTTACAAAACAAAATATAACACTAAAATTAGCCTTTATAAAGTTTGTAACATCCAATTTAAATTCCTTAATTTTAAGCTAATACAATTGATTTCATATTACTACAGAGAAATTGAAATTTATGTGAGTTATTTTTTTGTCTCTTAAAAACAAACATTTTTAGGTATTTTATCAAGTAATAAAACAAGCAACAAGAATTAAAAATCCTCAAAAATTAGTGACTGTTTATTGGCAATCGGCTATTGATTACGTGATGTGTTCCTTGCGTGGTTGCCTAATTGGATTCGTCCTTTGATCTTTAATTGGCTGGTTGGCGGTTGAGTTCAAAGAGGTTTTGGATCAAGTCTGAATACTGTGAAAGTAAGCATCATAAAAAAACGTAAAATTTCTTGGTCAAATAGTCAAGATGAATTTAGAACTTTTATAAATTCTATAAAAAGCGGATCAGCTTGATTTACATTAGATTGAGAAAATTTTGGAAGCCCATTATTTTAATGAATTAACTAATAATAAATAATTTATCATTTTAAACTTGAAGATAATAATATTTTTGATATCATTTCAGTAATGTTACATTTATAAGAGAAATATTAATCTTTCGCTAAAATTATTTGTTTATGTAAAGCTATTAAAAATAAAATAACTTAATTGAGTTAAAAAGCGACAATAACATTTGAGTTAGCGCTGCCGATATGTCCTTCACAATAGATAAATTACTGCAAAAAACATGCAAAACCAAAAAGTGTAATACAGAGTTCTAAGCGGTTATCTTAGAGTGGATTCTCGCCATGAGATCAAACCAGCTGCCTCAACAAACCGCACAGCTGATCAAAACATATCGACCACTTCCTCATCATATGATGCTGATGCAACTCTGATATACGAACTTCAAGGTGTTCAGGTGATTTCACAGAAGAAAGAAAACTCCAACAAGACAGAGATAACCAACAAAGAAAGTAAAAATAACGAAAACTCAAGTTCAGCCTCTTGCCAGTACGCAAACAAAATATAAGCTTGCAGTATATGTGGCAAAGTGTACAATCACAAAAACTCATTTTACAGACACAAGGCCTCGCACAAGGGAAGCCAGTTTGTATGTGGAGTTTGTGGCATGAAGTTTACACGGGCAGACAGCAAGAAGAGACACCTGGATCGAAAGCGATGTCAAAAATCAAACTGAAATTTTCTGTTTTGTTTTATTATTTGGTATTATTTGTTGTATTTTTAGTACTTTTTTTGCGAACACACTGTTTTTGAAAACATATTTTGTGATACATACATTATAATATAATATATATATATATATTTATTATATAAATATATTATAATATAATCATATTATTTGAAATAAAACTATTTTACCAAAAAACATGTCCACCACTCAAAATTTAATGGTTTATAACTTTTTATTATTATTATTTTTATTTCATAGTTACGTGAATCAGACTACAAGGCAAGTATTTCAAACCGGCTAGTTATTTTGATGCCGATATATTAGAAATTTTTATATGCGTTTGGCATAATTTTTAGCGATATGCAATGTACAGTTTTTTGAAATTTTAAAGATCTTGACATTCTTTGTGATGTATGTTATTTAATTTTAATTTAATATAAATTTGAATTGATTTTTTTTATTATTTCCTTTTTAATAAAGAACTGTTGACATCAGTTTAAAATTTAACTAAATGATAAAAAAATATTTGCAAACTAGAGAGTTAAAAGGTATATTTTTAATTTCTTTATCCAAGGGTATTTTTTACCTTCGATTTCATTGAGCCAAAAAATAAATAAATGTTATTAATTGTAAATAAATGCAAAGTGTAAATGAGAAAAATTTTCTGACCAAGACCACAACTTAAAAAATTTTATCTTATTTTTTAGCTTTTACAGTTTAAATACAAAACATATAAAGAAGAAAGGTTTGTAGCGAAAGGTAAATTTGTTTTGATAATTTTTATTTTTTAGAGACTGGCTTATGAAGTTTTGATATAATCAATCACCGTCACAAGTAGTTATTTATATATTCGTGAATTTGACCCGTCAAATTACAATTTGAACCGTCAAATTACAAAAATTGTCCAGTGAATTTAGCTTCTCAAATGTATAATGTGATTTTATTTTATTTATTTATTTATGATGATGATAAGAATAATTAAGACAAATGTGTGTGTTTTTGTTGTTTACGGTTCTAAAATTCATTTATTTACTTAAAATTAATTTAATCGGTAATTATAAGAATAGATAAACAGTTTTATTAATTTATATATTCATGACTGTGACCCGTCAAAATTTTATTTACAAAAATTGTCCAGTGATTTTAGCTTCTCACATTAATAATGTGATTTTATTTTATTTATTCATTTATGACGATGATAATAATAATAACGATAAATGTGTGTTTACGGTTCTAAAATTTATTAATATAGCTACTTAAAATTCATTTTTGTAGCGAAATCGGTAATTATAAGAATAGATAAACAGTTTTATTAATTATATATTCATGACTGTGACCCGTCAAAATTTATTTACAAAAATTGTCCAGTGAATTTAGCTTCTCACACGAATAATGTGATTTAATTTAATTTATTTATTTATGATGATGATAATAATAACGACAGATGTGTGTGTTTTTGTTGTTTTCAGTTCTAAAATTTATTAATATACTTAAAATTAATTTTTGTAGCAAAATCGATAATTATAAGAATAGATAAACAGTTTTATTAATTTTGATTTCTGTATGGTTAGGGTTAGCTAAAGCTATTATTTTCTCAAAAAAGCGGGACCATAAATTATCGTTTACCATAAATTAAAATATGGAAATATGCAGATTCAAATTGAAAACCAAATAAAGTTTCTAGGTTTAATTTTTGACAACAAATTAAACTATCTACCTCACATCCATTATGTTAAAAGCAAATGTATGAAATCCTTAAATCTAATAAAATCTCATTACAGATGGGGAGCACATCCCAGTAAACTTCTATTAATTTACAAAGTCAAGATTAAATTAATATTAGATTATAGATTGCAGGTTTATGGTGGAACAAGAACGCCTTATGTAAACATTTTTAATACCATTATGAACAGTTCATTAAGAAGATGCATGGGTGTTCACAGAACATCTCTTGCAATTAGTGTTCTAACATTAACAGACGAAGTGCCCATAGACCTCAGATGCATCAAGCTCTCATTAAATTACTTTTTTTCAACATCTTTCAATCCAAATAATTCTTCCTATCACTACATATTTCCTTTAATATACAAATTTTTCTACGATAAAAAACCTAAGGTTACTAAACCGTTTAACCTATACATACTGGAACATACTATCCAACTATATATATTAACGTAATTAAAAAGCCATCACCAATTTTTTCCAACTGGCATCTATATAAATTTGAAGTCAAAACTAATTTAACTAAAGTCAACAAAATGACAGATCAAAACATCATCAAAGTAATCATTCATGAATTTCTGCAGAAATATAAAAACTCTACGATCATATATACTATGGGTCTAAATTGCAAGAATCAACAACATCAGCAGCATTATTAAATGGCTATGTAATTAAACAACACTTACCAGACAAGGTGTCAATCTACTCTGCAGAATTATATGCAATAAATTTGGTTTTAGATTTTCTAAATTCTGAGACAAATTAAAGTTTTGTCATAACAACAGACTGACTGTCATGTGCAACGGCCATCAATCAGTACAAAACAAAAAATGATTTAGTCAGAATAATCAAAGCAAAAATTTATTTTATGACGCAAAATCAATGTGATATTAAATGCCAGTACACAAACAAAATATACGCTTGCAGTGTTCGCGGCAAAATGTACAAGAGAAGCTCGTATTATTGGCACAAGTCCTCGCACAAGGAAAGCCAGTTTGAATGTGAACTTTGTGGCAGGAAGTTTACACGGGCATACAGCAAGAAGCGACATCTGGATGGAAAGCGATGTCCAAAATTGAAATGATATTTTCTTATTTTACTTTTCTCTATTTTTGAATTTCAGTTGTTTTTATTACCCAAATTTTGTGAGGCAGAATTAGGCTTGTCACACCGACTTGTTTTTTGATACCGATGTACTAGAAGAAATGTTATATGCGATTGGTATCATTTTTCCAACTAAGTCCAATTTGCAAAAGATTGCTATTCATTGTGATGTATATATTATATTATTTTAAAGTACTATAAATTTTGATTGTTTTCTATTATTATTTCATTTAAAAAACCATATATGACTTGTTCTTATTTTTTTTAATTAAATAAAATAAAAGACATTTTTATATTTTATTCAGAATAAGAAACATTAGTCTTTAGTTGGCTGCCCGTATTGTTAAATTTCATCTAGGGTTGCTTGTTGATAAAACTTTTGCAGTCATTTGGATATCTCAGTAGGGTGATATTTCATCTGGATTTCGCATTTCAATAAGATCGATGGCGCTAAATAAAGCTTTTAAAAACAGCTCAAATAAATGAATGTGATTTTTTTGTACGTAAATTCAAAGTTCTTGTAAAAATATATCTAGTCGTCTGATTCTTACCAACAAATTTCCGCATTTTCAAAATTGAATGAAAATTTTCGAATTCATAAACTAAAAAAAAAGTATAAGAAATTTTTATAGAAGAATTGCAAAAATCAAGGTTACAACTTGAAAAAATTTTATCTTATAATTTATTAGATGTAATTGTTCAATTATAAAACACATAGTAAAATGAGGCTTTTAGCGAAACGTAAATTAGTTTTGAGAATTCTCGTGGTTCATGGGAGTGGCTGGGTGAAGTTATGGAACTCTGGCCTTCCAAAATTGTTTTTTTCTAACTTTTTTGACATAATAATTTTGTGAATTTAGCTCTTTAACAAAAAAACACAATGCTGTGCCTAAATGAAGGGGAATCAGTATAGCTTCCAAAAGTTTGTTTGTATAAATGCTATTAATACTTCAAATGCTAATGTTTTTTTTATAAAGTTCTAAAAAATGGTTGTTGACTGAGGTTCATTGAAAACGTGGTAAACTTCTATTGACGCGATTTGATGTGATGATTGGTTGGATTCACACACCAAAATGATTTTAGATAAAAAACAATAATATTTTAAATTCTATTATACAATGATTTTGTTAAATTGCCGTTAGTTAATTTTTCTGCGTCGTAGATGGTTATAAGGTTTTTGATGTGGTTCATAAATTCAGCGGCTTTGTGGATGTTTTCTGATTTTATTTAATACTTTTTTTTATTTTTTAGCTGATTCGATGAGTAAGATTATTTTTTTCATCCTTCAATGCCACATTGAGCGTTGATTTAATTTGTAGAAAGTGGTGGTTTTTATCTATTGACATGTATTTAGCTCTGATTTTTTCGCTTTTGTGTATCAACCGGTTCTTTCTCTTCTCTTTTTGTGCATTAAAATTAGTTTTGTGTATTTGTCTATGCCTTGCAAAATGTATTCACTAAGGTCTGTAATAATACTTTTGCGTAATTCGTTTTGAGTACAAAAAGTCTACGACTCTTCTTGTTTCTGAATACATAAAAACGGTTAACATCATCATTTGAGTACAAAATACCGTAATTAGTTATGAGTTTTCTAGTCTTTTTGTCCATTTGCTGAATTTTATTGTTTCTTCTGTCAACAATTCCAAAACTATATTGCGGTACTGGCACGGCCAAGTTGTTGATAGCTTGCATCTTATCTGAGTTGAGTGCTGAAAATGAGTCTATTTAATCTTTTCATATTTTTTCTTGAATTTTCCCATGTGGGATAACGTCGCTTAGGTAAAATCCAAAATATATGTAAACGTTCTTTTGTTTAAGATTTCATATCTCGTTGACTTCATCCAGTTCAATGTCAACACAGCTTGAAATGTTTTTCTTTCTTGGTGGTAACTTTCCATTTGTATATCATTGCGGAAATTGTTTACAATTCCTAATTTTTGATTTAGTTGAAAATCATATTTTGCAATTAATTTCAGGCCATCTATGTATAACAGTACATTAATAATAGTACTCTGTGTTTTTTGCAAGCTATATAACTATATATATAAGTTCATCTTCGTTCAGCATTGCTGTTAGAAGTATCAAAGCTGTACCGGACAGTAATCACCTAAGAAAAACTTTTTTTCATAGCTATTCTTTTGGTTTTTATATATTTTTTTCGTG